GGGGGGGGGGGGCGTTCATGTGAGTAAGGGCACACAAGAGGTTTTTGTCCCCAGGCAACTTATGATCTAGTTATTTAATGAAATACCAAAGGGTAAATGAGAAAACTTTACTGTTCTTCCAGCCTATGTTGCTCAGATCATGATGTGACATTCTAGAGCTTGAAGAGAAATTAGAAATAGCTTGGCCCAACCCAAATTGCTACATATTTAAAGAAAGCAAAAAGGTTCTGAATGGTTAAATGACTTGTTCAGGGTGTGTCAAGAACAACACAGCAGCATCTTAAAACAACCCTGTAGGAATAAGTGTTTTCAGATATAAGGTTAGAGGCTGGAGCATGACCAAGGTGGACTACTTTGGCCACTGTGAGAGCACAAAGCATGGGAGGAGAAGTGAGGGAAAAAGGGACTCAAAGGGAAAGGAGAAAGCCTTTTGCCTGCTTCATACCTTTGACAAAAGCATCCCTAGCATTCTTTAAGTAGCTCACCTTTTTAAATTAGTGGATACAAGAGTCCTTGATCAGCCCCTCTTCCAGGTTCTTTCCTTTCTAGTCAGTGAGTCATTCCTGGCGCTTTCTGGAGTTAAACCTTCACTGTCTTCCAAAGGAGGAGAAGGGGTTGAGTTCAGATTGAAAATAAAAGATTTAAGTAGCTCAATTAGTCATGGCACAGACTAGCTCATACATAAGTATACAAAATTGTCTCTGCATCTGGGCATGTTCTGTGACTTGGTATAAATGAGACATGCACATATATACTCGGTTATAATCCAATATGACAGTTCAACGTAGGCTGAGGGGCTCAAGGGAAGGCATTTGGAAGAATGTGGGGCCTGAGCACACAAAGGGGCAGAATTTTCTGCGATGGGGAGGGGAGACATTCCAGGCTCCTGGCCCAGGAGAAAAACATGAGCCAGAGGTTCATGGACATGGCTTAATCCAGGGGGACAGAAAGCAGGAGACTGTCGTGAAGAGTGAAGCCTCATGGAAACCAATGGGAAACACAGCTGAGGTCAGATTGAAGAGGGTCTTAG